CCCCCCCCTTTACACACATACACACTGTCTCTGTCTCAGCCTTCTGGGCTTATACAATGTAGCATGTCTTTTTGCAGTCCTTCCCCAGGGACTCCTTCCTCTCCTGCTGCCTGGGCTTGACAGCCTGGGCAGTTCAGAAACTGGGTTTGTATGGCTTCAAGGCTCCAGCCCTTCTGGCCCGCACTCCCCCTCCTAATGGGGCACAGAGATTCTCCATTACATAGCTAGCAGGCTTGCTGCTCTGCAGCCTGCAAGTTCTCACTGCTGCTTGTATGTTCATCTCAGTAACAGAGAAGTCAGGGGCCCCTTTCCCCCCTCATCCTTTCACAAATGAAAAGCATCTCTGTGGCAACTCCCACTACTATTTACATGGAGAAAGCACCTTAGGAAGATATTCCACTTATTTTTAACTGTCTTTATGCAATGTGATGTCTAGAAACCAGCAGAAGACTACATCCTGAGACCAACATGCCCTCTGCTCTGCAAGCACGCCACACTCTGAGAATCCACACACACTTCACAGACTAAGAGTTTTGTGGTGGCTAATGTGTTAGGACCCTTAGCCTGTGCACTGAAGCACTGAACCTACCTGAAATGACATCTTTGTTGGAAGAGATAGCGTAACGTTCATCAAATACAAACAGCTTCCCCCTGTAGAACCCATCTGGAAATTCTTCCAAGTACTTATGGATGCCGCCCTTTAGCTGGTAAACTGCCGTGCACATGGCCTGTTTTAAACAAATTGACAGAAGTACTAAGCTAAGCCATAATAGCAGGATTGTGCCAGACAGCTTAATGCATGCAGTTCTCAGGAAGGGATGTTTCTGAATGACCATCATGAGACCTCATGTATGTGCCACACACCTAAACCACCTCCTCCCAGGTGCTGTTGCTGGCTGATATGGAGCCAAATGCATGTTGCATTTCAGTTTAATGAACAGTGTCTGCCGTATGTCACCATCTCTCTTTCGGCACAGATGCTAGTTGGATGGAAGTCTGCCTTGTCACACAGCAAATGCTATGGGGACCTGGTCCGCTCTCTGCTTATGCCATCTGTAAACCAGTGTAGTTCTATTGATGTCAGTGGAGTTCCTCCCAACACACTGCATAATTGAGAATGAATTAAGCCTGGGCTGTCCAACTTCTGAGTGGCTGTTTGGATTGCATGCACCAGGAGCCAAGCAGACTCCCTGGCCCCCCACAGGCTTCATTGCCCTGGCCCCAGGGATGGGGAGTCCAGAGACCTCTGCAGCAGCAGGAGTAGAGGAGAAGCAATGGCCAGGCAGGAGCCCATGAGTTGCAACTTAACCGCCTGTGGGCCACAAATTGGACAGTCCTAGATTAAACCTTAAATTTCTGGAGGGTTTACCTGTGCTGTCCTCCCATGGTAAGGCATAAGGAATTAAGGCTGGGAGGGGTGTAGAGGAAGGGATAGTCTAATAGGATGGGGGCTGGACTAGAAAACCTAGGTCTGATTCCCAGCTCTGCCTCTGATTTGATATGAAATCCCAAGCAAATCACTTACTGTTGTCTTGTGCTTCATTTCCAATGTTTAAAGGGGGAATATAGCCCGTCCCTTTGAACCAGGGACAGAGACACCCAGATTAGGCAGGGAACGTCCAACCTCAACCCTGCCACTCCCAGAGTACCTGCTCACCTTAGTCCGGAGGTAAGCAGAGCCCCTTTCACAGCGAATCCCTCCAGTGCAATACATAAGTACTCGCTTGTTTTTAAACAGCTCTAGATTTTTGTCCACATAGTTGGGGAAGTAGCTGAACTTCCTGATATCAGGAGCCAGAGAACCCTGGAAGCGTCCCTGGAACAAGAGGTGGCCATGTGAGCCGAAGCGCGAGCAAAAAGTGAGATACAGCAGTCCCCACATTGTCAGGTATATGTGTGAATTGAAGACAAAACTAGCCCTTTGGGTCTGACTCTCTGGTTCCCTGCAGCCATGTTGGCCAGATCCTCAAAAGTATTTAAGTGTCAAACTCACATCATAATCAACAGCAGGTACCTAAATATCTTTAAAAATCTGGACTTAGGGTCCCCTTCACTTGCCTACTCTACCCCAGCACCCCAATGGAAAGATGGTGGCCTGGTGGAAAATCCATCAGAGAGGATCCGCTACCTCACTTTATACTTGCTCCTTAGCACAGAGGAGGGCACTGTACTCCACCATCTCCAGGGCAAAACTTGGGTCTTTCTGGCATACATGAAATATGAATGGCTTTCTTCTACAGCTAAAGCTGTGGAGTCACCTTGTTGCTTCAGTTCTATTATACAGCTACTACTGTGGTGGGCTAGTCTGAGCAGTCAGCTGAGCAGGTCCCTATGTTGCCAGGCAAGGCCTCTTCTGCTTTTATTCTGGGGTAATATTTTCTAATTAACTCTACTTCACAGATGCAAGGTGGAACAGCGAGCCCTGTCCCCACAGTTGTACCATGCTTCTGAGCACAAACAATGAAATGACTCTCCCCTTGCACTGATAAAAACATCACAGGAAGCCAATAAATACTTACTATTTTGCTTTCATAGAAGTTCCTACAATCCAGTAAAATGGTGTCACTTTGTGCTTGATTAGCCTGAGATAAATATTTTTCCACTTCTTTATGAAATTCCTGAGGTGACATATGGATTCCTAAAAGGGAAATGATACCCTGTGAAGAGCTGAGTGACATTTGAATGGTATGGCAAGGTAACTGATTCAGGTTGCACATTTAGATCATTCAAGCCCAGAGGTGATACATGTATCTGACCAACTGCCCTAGGAAATAACTGGTATAGGATTTCAGCTAACCTCACCACAAGCACAATGGGCTGAATTTAGTTTTGAGTTAATTCCTTTGGCTTCAGCAGGTGACAAATGTGCCATGAGACAAAACAAAGCCCATCAGATAGGCAGCACTCCAAGAACAGGCTTACAGGTATCGTGAGATTGATTTTCTGCTACTCTTCCCCCTTGAGCAGATGCTTACATCTTTAAAAACGAGGAACAAAACATCCCCCTTCTGATCTGGCAGACCCTTCTGTTCACTTTGGCCTGGTGAAGAGAATACCAGCTGGTTGGGAAATGTTTTGATTAAATGCTTACTGTGAGAATGTACCGCTCTCTGTGAAACTTCCATCAAAAAGAGCTTCTCAGCTTCAAGATGGGTTTTCTAGGCAGAGGCAGGTGGACAGGAAGGAGGGTCTGACCTATCCATACTTGGTGGCTAGGAAGTGAGCCTTGAACACAGGGGAACAAGATGTGAATCTCTGCTCTCATTCAAAGTATGGACTTGAATCTGAGTTCCCATCTCT